CGTGGGCCATCGATGGCCCACAGTGGGTCACCGAATAGAAGGTCACTGAACGTGCCAACCTCCGTCAAATACGAACGAACTAAGGAAGAAAATGACTCTTACATGACAAGCTTCGAAATTTCAATCTGTCGAATATCAGATTTTCACGAGAAACTTATTTCACGTGCAAAGATTTACAGGGTAGAACACACAGAGAGGCCTTTAGTCACGCAATCTCCGTGTGTCAGCCATTGAACCGCAAGTAAGTCAAGTCTTGCGTGTAACAATATACGTAGCAGGGTTTCCTTTAGTTAAGGAAAGAAATGAAAATGGAAAACCCTCGAGTGACTCGGTGAAGTCTTAGGGGTGTTTAATGGCGAGCGATCATGTTGCTGATATAATAAGGCAAAGAGATTGCGCGACGGGGTGCCGAAAACGGTGAGCTCGTGCTCGCTGGAGACCAGGCGGATTCCTCTCGTTAATGTCGAAACGACAGCCACACGAAATCCGGACGACAGTGATGAATCGAATCGGAAGGGTGTCGTGCATTTCTCGCATTCCAAAATCGAGGGGTACCCATTATCGTAAATGTTCCCGCTGTCCCCGGACCACGTGCAATCGTTTGCCACTCTTCTCGCGTACTTTTCCCTTTCGTCTGTTAATTAATCCCTAAAATCGAGATTACATCCGAACGGAATATTTGTATCCTTTTCCTTTTTTTTTTTTTTTTAACCCTTTACAAACTCGATTTTTCTTCATTCGCGAGAAAAGAAATTACGGTTCGTTAGAATTTTTTATTTTTATGGGAGAAGGAATTGATAATTATTATTAAAAAATTGGCTGGTTGTAATGTGAAATTTTTAAAATATAAATAAATTGATACGTAAATTCTAAGTCACGTGGTGCTATAAAGGGTTATCCTTGACAATTTATTTAATTTAACAAATTTATCTCTTTTTGCAATAAAATGGGAAATCTCGTTCGTTGGTGGATTGAGTAATTTTGTTAATGAACAATCGAACGAATTACGAAAAATCGAACGATG